CAGAAGAGAGAGAGGCCCTGGATCTTTCTAGTAGCATGGATATTTTTCTGTTTTGGAATAAGAAGGAAGAAAAATCAAACCCTTTGATTTAACATTCTTTAGCTGAAGGCCCTGGACAAATAGTTACATTTCTGGGTCTCAGTGTCCACAGATATAAAAATCAAAGCCTATTAATATCTAACTGGTTTCGTTGGAGTAAAAAATAATCTACTGTTTTTTAGGTATTTTAAAAAGAATGGCTATTAATGAAATAATAAAAAATTAAATACAAATTATTCATAATTTGGGCTGGGGATGTGGCTCAAGTGGGATGCGCAAGGTGCTGGGTTCGATCCACAGCACCACATAAAAATAAAATAAAGATGTTGTGTTCACTGAAAACTAAAAAAATAAATATTAAAAAAATTCTCTCTCTCTCTCTCTCTCTCTCTCTCTCTCTCTCTCTCTCTCTGTCTCTCTCTCAAGGAAAAAGAAGTTATTCATAAATGAGGAAGTTTTAAAGAATGTACAGGGTTTAAATTTCCAAAGTGAATGTGAAAGATATTGGCATGCCAAAGGTCATAAATGATAATGGCAGAGAACACGAAGGTGAAGATAAAATGAAGTGATACAAACGACAGTATATTATACATTCTTGGCAATTGTGCATTTACTGTCATTACTAATGATGGAAACACAATGGGCCTGAAGTGGAAGCCCACAGTGGAGGATTGAAGAAAGAAAACGAGCCAAGCTGAAGGAGGTCCTGAACAACAGATTAACTTGGACTTGGAGTTCAAATCATATAAGGAAGAACTTTAAATTGTGGAAGATTTAGAAGGAAACCGAGATATTAAATTGTCATCTTTTCAAAAGCAAATTATATAAGTACCGTATAGCGCCAATCTCCTGATTTCTTCATCTTTACTTCTCATTGCTCCCTAGGGAATCCCATCTGCTTATCATCCCTGTTTTCTTTATTATAGAATTAACCCCTTCCTATTCCATGTTATCTTCCTGATCTAAATTTCCTTTTCTCTTTTTCATTAAAGTACAATGTTCATTCTAGTTTCAATTTTCTCCTCACAAACTGGAGGTTAAGGCTGAAAACACACATGCCTGAGAGATGGCTGCCATCATCATTAGAACACCTGGATCCCCTGACCTCTGCTCTGGGCAGATGCTACTCAATTGCAGAAGGAAGGCTGAATCCTAGAGATGCTATAGGGAAAAATCAGAGGAGTGGAGAGACAGGGCAGCAAAGATCTGGAAAAGTAAAAGAAGAAAACAGGAACCATACACAGAACTATGGACATTTGAAAGAGAATAAAAGAATATATTTAACTAATTAATTTTGTGGTAAACTGATGCCACCTGAAGATATAACACTGGGTAAAAGGAAAGATGGCATAGTTGGAAATGCAAGTGACACAGTAATCAGATTTTAGGTAAGAAAGGAAGGTCTCAGGAAGCAGGAGCTCTCCATGTGAATACACATAGACACCTGCAAAAATTAAGGTCTGGGTGATGGACTCAGTAGGCCAAATGGTGATTATAAATTTTTGTGCATGTGTCCATATCTCTTTGCTAAAAAACTAAAGTAAACTGGAACACACATGTAATTAGAATCTAAAGAAAAAATAAGAAAATAAAAAAAGAAATATAATAAAACTCTAAACTAATTCAGGTCAAGAGAAAATAAAAAAGGAATGCAATAATATTTTAACATATTCTTTAACTATGTTGCAAACTGGCCAATAAGACACTTACAACCAGCAGAGAGCTAAAAAAAATGGAATAAGCACTAATATTTCGGATGTTCATAAGTTAATAAAAATATTTCAGGAGAAAGGTAATCAATAGTTATAAATTAAAGAGGGAATGTATAAGGAACTGATAAAATATGCTAATGAGATATCCAAAAAAAGGTGAGACATGTAAGAAATTAAAAAATAAAGGTCATAAATGTAATATTTGTGGAAGATCGTTATATTTAATTGGTAAAATGTTAGGTATGAACTTAATTAAAATAAACTCAGTTCAGCAATGCATAAAAACTCAGATAATAAAGAGTTTAATAAATAGTGGAAAGAAACAAGAGTATATGAAAATTCAAGGAGAAAAACAATGGGGGGTCATGGGTGTAAATAATGTGCATCATAAAGCCTACAGTATTTTTATTAATTTTTTAAAATACCAAGATGAATAAGAATAGGGATTGAATTCAACAGAAAAAAAATAAATTAGCAAAAGAGGGAATCAAGTGAAGAATGGTGGAAGAAAAGAAAGAGGAACAAGAATTGAGAAATTTTGTTTTTATAGCCCAGGATTTCATAGTCATTCATTTATAATGAACTATGAATTTTCTGCTTTTCAAAAAGGGATGATACCAATACAAAATAAAGAGATTTTTATACACACAAAATTGGTTCAAATAAAAAATAATTTTTAATACCTAGAAACAGGTATTAAAAATACCCATACTCTGTAAATCATGTAAATATTTTAGGTATTTGGTGCATTCTCTTTTAGGAACAGATTGATTATCAATATTTGAAACTAGTCATATAAGAAAAGTTTCATTTAAATTTAAAAGATAAAATAAATGTTTGCTTTTCTCCTAAATTATTGGCAAATTCAGGTGTGAAATATGGCAATGAGTAATGACATAGTATGTTTAGAATTTCATTCTGACCTGAAATAGAAGAGGTCAATTCCATTAGGGCAATTATCTTTGCACCTGCTCACTTATATTTGAATGTTGAATTATTCTAATATTAAGTTTATTATTCATTTAATACGATACAAAACAACTCCAAATATGCTAATAATTTTATTAACTATTTCCAAAAACCAGTTTTGGAGATAATTTTCATGTGAAATATGATTATAATTATTTCTAGGTCAAAGTTTGATCTATAATTTCCCCATTCTGAACAGAAATGAATTAAATGACTATTATCATCACAACACTTTGCTATTTTTTTCAGATTCTTATGCTAGTTACTGTCTGTAAGAATCTTAAAGAAAAAGAGTAAAATAAATGTCTGCTAAGCATATGCTCTAGGATTTAAAAATTAATAGGAGAAAGCAACCATAAAAATAATTGCAAAACAAATAAAATTTAAAATAAAGGATTAAAATAACTTCATATCCTCTAAAAATATAATATCCTTCAAATGAATATTTTTCCCAAAACTGATCTGGACATCATATGAAACACAATAAAAAATTTATAACTTGATTTCTGACTTCATTATTCTTATTATTTCATTGGAGAGGTGAAGAATTAGGAAGGAAGATAGATAGGAATATATAACAGACATCTACTTATGTGACCACATTTTTATAAACAATATATTCTAGTTTTTGACAGGAGAAACAAATGGAGAAAAAGAATATTTGGGAAAAGTCTTAATTAACAAAGAAAAATTTGAGCTACTAGAGCGAAAATAATATGTAGGATTTCTAGAGAAGAGGAAAAAGAAAAATATAAGTTGAGAAAACAAAATGAATAATGATTTATGATGATGGGTTCTTAGCAGTCTAATGAAGCCCTTGGACCTCCTCAGAAAGTTTTAAAAAGTGCTGGGTATAGTGGCTCATGCCTATAATCCCAGCAGGTCTAGAAGCTGAGGCAAGAGAACTGCAGTTCCAAGCTAACCTCAGCAATTTAGCAAGGCTGTAAGCCACCTAGTGAGACCCTTTTTCAGAACAACTCAAAACAAAACAAAAAAGCAAAAGAAAAAAGGGCTGTGGATGTAACTCAGTGGTTGATAGTCTTTGTGTCCAAGCCCTGGTACGAAAAAAGAAAGAAAGGAAGGAAGGAAGGAAGGAAGGAAGGAAGGAAGGAAGGAAGGAAGGAAGGAAGGAAGGAAGGAAGGAAGGAAGGAAGGAAAGAACAGTATTAAAAAGTTAAAAAGAGGTGAGAAAAAATTAAATATAGGCAAGAAAATAAATATATTAAAATGTAGTTATTAAAATTAAACAAACACTTTTTATGTAGTTAAAAGGCCCTTATTATTTATTTATTTATTTTGATGATATAAAATTTAAACTTTCCTTGCTAACATAATTTGGTCCCTATTGTCATTCTCTTCTCTCTTGGAAAAAGCTGAGAAGATAGTTCCAGAGACAGAATTTTATTAATGCATTTGATAATGAGATTGAACAATGGGTTTAAGTAAACCTATTATTGAATCAGTAGAGATTTTCAAAGGCTGAATGAACATAAGTAATATTTTAAAATATATATAAAAATGTCAATTATTTCTATTAGAAATTCTTTGCTGCTGGTAATAACTTCTGTGGTCTTTTCTTTACATTCACAACTGGAAGAAATACTAATTGTCATGTAGAAATTAAATAAAATGAAAGTATAATATTTTACCCAATAAATTCAAGAGCCCCTTCAGTTTTATCCATGGACTTATAAGTATTCATACATTCTGTCTGATAATTTGGAGAAGACAATGACAAGTCATCATTCCCTAAACATCTAGGAATCTGATGAGTATGAGACCCTCACAAGTAACAAGTGTTTTATGTTATTCTTGGAATAGAATATAAGGAAGAAAATGTTATAATGGACATTGTTTCTTGAAGAATGAGAAAAATGAGGTTAAAGAAGTTTCATGCACCCTGCCTAGTGTTACATACATGACAAATGCCAGTCCCAGGATTAGAATTCAAATAACAGGGTTCTAAAGTCTTTATTTGCTTTGCCCCCTCAGATATAGAGTAAATATTTTGTAACCCCCAAAAATACACATGAAGGAAATATGGTCAAGAAAGGAATCATTAAGAACAAAATGATCTGATGGTAACAATTCCATGGGCTACAACAGTAAGGATTATTGTAATATTTTCTCTCCAGAGATTTTGTAGTAGACTAAAATGACCTATTATACTTAATCGTCACACCTAAAATGAGGTGAATTCTTTCTATTAATTCTCCAAAGGTGTTTTTTCCCCCCAAATCTATTTTAAAATACATGCAGACACAGAAAACACCCACTTACCAACACTTGTGCAACTTTCTCCATCCACATCCAGCTTCCACCCTTCATAACATGAACACTTGACTGTGTGTTTGTGCTGCTCGCACACTTGGCTGCACTTCAGATGATTGCTACAATAATCCACAATTTCACATGTTTTATTGTCTTTGTTGAGTTGAAGTCCTTCAGGACAAGAACAGACAATTCCTCTTCCGGGAACAACAGAACAATGGTTGCTACAGCCTCCATTGTTCAGTGAACATTCATCTATAAAAGAAGGGGAACAGATTATAGGTCATATCAATTGTTTTCCTCAGTTAAATACTGATCCTTGAACTCAATGCTGAAAGCCTGGAATTAAAGTCAATATACAGTAAATGATGGTAAGAGAAACCTCTTGAAGGTTACAATAAGAATAATGATAGAACATAAACAATGACAAAATTTCATTCTATGTGATATGATTGGGAATGGGAGATTTTTATTTCTTGAAAACTTTTGAGTACAGTTTGCTTTAACCCATAGACATGAAATATGTTTGATATTTCTGTTATAACTGGAAGGATTGTACTTAGCTATTTAACAGCTGAAAAATTCAATTGTAGATGTTTTCCAAAAGTTATGCAAAAACATTCATGATACAAATACTTGAATTATCTCCAAGCTTTAAATAAAAAAGTATATGCACATATATGCAAACATGCATAATATATATATTTTTTTTTCTACATGTATCATCTGATTTATAGTGATAATGCAGAATGGATTTCTGTATCCTTTACTGTCTGCAGGTATTTTTTTTTCAATTTTTTTTTAAGTTGTAGATAGACACAATATCTTTATTTTTTTATGTGGTGCTGAGGATAGAACCCAGTACCTCATATGTATTAGACAGGTGCTCTACCATTGAGCTACAGCCCCAGCCCTGCAGGTATTTATTTTTGTTAGATAATTTATATATCATATCCTACAATTGGTTATTATAATAAATTCAATCAGTCCATGAAAATTAAGTATTAATACACTAAAAATAGGTTCTCCCTGGTATTTTGGCTGACATAACAGTATAAAGTACTTTCTCCATTATTAATATCATTCATTTAAGGAGACATTTGCTTATATAATATATATGTGTAAATATATATATTTGTTTATATATTTTTAAAATATTTAGATATATTTATTTATCATTCTATTTCTTCGCCAAATTTTAGGATCCATGAGGGCCCACAAAATATGTGTTCTGTTCATCAGTGTATTCTTAGCAGCTAAAAATATCTAACATTGAGTAAACAAAGAAAAATATTTGATGGATATAAAAATATTGTCTAAAAGTATACAATTGTTCCCAAATTGAACCAGCATTGTCTACTTGAGAATTTCAAAATGACATGCTTACACCTTTGCATAAAATAGCAGATTACTGTTTTTGTAACCACACTACTACCTACCAGAGAGTATATAGTTAGATACAGAGTAATGAGGTCAAAAGAAGTTTAGTCTTTGCTTTTAAAATGTTTCTGAGTGGTTTTAAAAGCCAGTTTCATTTTGTGTATTTTGAAATGAGCTAAAAATACTGTTTTCTAATAATTTGTGAATTGTGGTGATATAAAAAGTGAGCAGAAATGTAAGGCTTCCATAAACATTTTTACATCTTTAATGTTTGTATATGGGTAAACACTTATTATTATTTATCATTATCAAAAATGTTACAGTAATAAGAAAAGAAAATGATTGTATTAACTGTTTTCTTTAAGAATTCAATTCAAGTTCTGCATTATTGTAGGAGGAAAAAATAGATTCATTCATGGTTCCTTAAAATATGTTTCCTCACCAGTAATCACAATCATTTCAAAATAGCAGTCATTTCAAAGTATTTGCCCCATTTTAGTTCAATTGACATTCGCTTTTCAAGAGAATGACTGTAAAGAAATGCCATTGTGCCCAGCAGGAAAAAAGATTGTTACAATGTTTTTAGCTTATTTCAACTATCTCGGTTTTCTTAGTACTGAAATGTCTTCTTTCTGATATCTGTGTAATTAAGTGATGGATTTTAGGATAAACAAAATTCATATCAAAAGAAACCTGAATATATAAAGATAAGATCAATACTTGAACAGCCAATACCTTGTCAGTTCTTCTTTAATTCAAAACATGTCATTAACCCTGCAACTTCTTTAGAAAACTTTTATTATCTGACAAGACTCTGTCCTTGATGGTACTGTGGTCAGTTTCATCTCCTCTCCAATAGTTTCAACATTGGTTTATAAAAACTAGAGGCCCTATGGAACAAATGATTTGTACCCACCCACATATAACATACAAAGAGATTTAAGTATCAGAATATTGTCTCACAGTTCCCTAAAACGAACACTAATTCCTTGCAGTGTCTATAAGAACAAGCTCATTGATGCAACGGGAATTCCCTATTTCTTCTGGCCAAAATCTGTTGATAGATAAGTTCCTGACCTTTCTCTTAATTATGTTGAAAAACTTGCAATTATAAATACATTCTCTACAATTAACAATGAATGTTGGTGAGGATGTGAGGTAAAGGGGACACTCATACATTGCTGGTGGAACTGCAAATTGGTTCAACCATTATGGAAAGTGGTATGGAGATTCCTCAGAAAACTTAGAATGGAACCACCACTTGACTCAGTTATTCCACTCCTCGATATATACCCAAAAGACTTAAAATTAGCATACACAGTGATACAGCCACATCAATATTTACAACAGCTCAATAACAGTAGCTAAGTTATGGAACAACCTAGGTGCCCTTTAACAGATGAATGGATAAAGAAGATGTGATACATATACACAATGGAATATTACTCAGCTACAAGAAAGAATGACTTTCTATTTTTTCCAGTAAAGGGATAGAGATGGAGACTATCATGCTAAGTGAAATAAGCCAATCCCAAGAAACCAAAGGCTGTATGTTCTCTCTGATATGAGGATGCTAACTCATAATAAAGTAGGGATGGAAGAATAGAAGTTTATTGGATTAGAAAGAGGGGACTAAAGGAAGGAAGGAAGAATGGGAATAGGAACGCAATAGAATGAATTGGACATAACTTTCCTATGTTCATATATGAATACACAACCAGTGAAACTCCACATCATGTACAACGAGAATGTGTTTTGTGTAACTGTGAGGGTCTCCTTCCATCTTCCGTGCAATTCCCCTTCTCCCCCCCATTCCCTTCCACCTCTTTTCCTTGTTTTGTGGTAAATACATATAGGATGGTGTGAGGGGGAAGGGGAAAAAAGAGAGAGAGAGAGAGAGATAAGTGTCACAGTTGAATGGGTAGAGAGAGGTGATGGAAAGGGAGGGGAGGGGAGGTAGGGATAGGGAGGGCAGCAGAATACAACTGACATTAGGATTGCTGTATGTATACACATGGATGTATAACCATGTGATCCTGCAATTTGTACACATGGAAAAATGAGAATTCATACCCTATTTGAATCAAATGTATGATATGTCAAGATCACTGTATTGTCTTGAGCAACTAATAAAAATAAATAAATAAATATAGCAGAATACTACTCTGCAACCCCCCCCCAAAAATAAAATGTTGAGAAAAAAAAAAGAATGGCTCCTAATTAAAACAAGTTACACTCTATATATGTAAAATAAGCTAATATACATTCTACTTTTTTTTGTAGGTCAAAAAAAGAACAAATTAAATCAATCAATTAATCCATTCTCCACCTCCTTGAGATGTAACTTTTTTACCACCCAGAACTCTCTTCTTCTTTTTTTTTTTCAGAACTCTCTTCTTAAGGAGAAGAGTATTCTTTTTGAAATGCAAACATTCAAGGCGATAAGTTACTCTCTTTGCTCTGTGGATACTTGGAGTTGCTGCCACTGCTGCCTGTCATAAAGGTAGTATATGAAATAGTGTGAGGAGTTTGTTTGCCTCCAGATAAGCACTAGTTAACAACCTCAGACAAGTCACAATGTTAATATCACTTAGTGTTTTTACTTTACATACTCCAGCATTTCGAAGCTTCAAGGTTTTTTTTGGTTTTGGTTTCAATGAAGTTGAGTTTGATTCATAGGAAACTCTTTTTCCTATTGCTGTAGTTATTAATGAAGACAATCTATCCTTACTGCTTTACTATGTCCAACTTTGTTTATATTTGACATATCCTTATAACAAGCATAAAAAGCTCCATTTTTTAATGATTCTACTCTCTTCTCATTGATATTGTATGTGCATATCTGTATTAAATTCATTTAAAATTCCCCTAACAAAATATAATTGTCCACTAGGATTAAGACATTTATATTCTTAATTTAAATATATATAGTTTATATATATTATATTATATTATAAATTACATATTAAATATATAAATTATATATATATATATATATTAATTACAAACAGAGAAGGCAATTCAATGGTTCCACTAGTGTTTGCTTTTAGTTGCACTGCTCTAGTTCTTTAGTGTGTTCACCATCTTAATGGGGCAAGAAAAATGACCTATGTAGTTCAATATGCTTTTATTCTACAATCAGGACAAAACTGTCTTTTTATCCTCTATGGTATTTCCACAACCAACTTTCTTCTACCTTACACTCTCTGTAATTCTTTGAAATATTTGAGCAAAGCTCATTAGCCAAATAATAGAGTGACTAGAAAAGCAAGAAATGATTTTCAATTCTGAAGTAGACAAATGAATTCAGAAGAAATTTCCTTTCTCTTTTATAATTCAGAAAGAGGAGGATAGGAAAACCAGAATGTGTTCTCTTATCACTCTCTTTATTTTTGATAATCTATATTTTCTCTCTTTTACTTAGTCCATTTAACTTGAGGGATGAAGAAAAGGTGAAAAAGCACTAATATTCTTCAATATCTATAGTGCTTCAGACATCATTACCAAGATTACCTAATAGGTATCATTGCCTATATTGTAATTATTAGGAAATTAATTGAAGTAATTAAAGAATAGAATTTTAGCTTGGCAAAGTCTAGACTCTTTCCATAACTACAAACTTGCTTTTTCGAGTATTGATAGTTTCCTTCTGATAGAATTGTACTTGCTTCCCGCATCAGCAGGCCTTTCATCAACTTGATCAGTTAAGAGAAAAGGTGTGAAGGGAAGGAAGTGAAAAGAGACAAATAAATCCTGCCATCTTTTATTTGTAAATATTTTATTGCTTAATTAATTTTAGTTGTAAGGGCTTTTCTTTTCTTTTTTTTTTGTTTTTGTTTTTTATTTTTTTGTCTGAATCTTTGTTGTTTACACTTTAGCCTCACTGAAAGCAGATGATTACATTTATTGTTTCAAGATCAGTTTATAGAATTACAAGTCTTTTGAAGAAAAGGATGTTTTACTGCATACATTTAGAAGATAGCAACAGTCCTCTCATCTCATATGTTCTTAATACTCAATTAAGACTAAAATATGATAACTTAAGGTTTAAAAGCAACTGTCTTTCCTAATTTTGCTCAGTCAGCCTCATTATTTCTAAAGCTATTTTATCAAAATCTACAGTCATCTCATTATTGTTCTTATCATACTATAAACTCATCTTTGTTCTTCTATTGATGGAAACTTCACTATTATCTACAAAACGTGCTTTAAAAAATCTCCTTGATAAATCTGTGATCTCCCCCACAGAAGAGAAAATGTGATTTTCCTTTATGTGCACTGCTTGGCATAAGGTAGATGGCTAGGCAAAGTGACTTCAAAACTCATTGAAAGCATTCTTTAACTAGATAAGCATACTAAAGAAAGCTATTGTAGGAGAACTAAAAACTTGAGAGAAAATTATAGCATATTGGAGAAGATTTACATGTTTCTTTAGCCAGTCTCTTTATTTTCCTAAAAAATTACTTCTATCATAATTATGAGAAGGCATATCAAAATCCACAGACTGGTAGTAATCCACACCCCACAGTCAATAATAAAAAGGTTCCCCTGTTCTAAGCATCTTACTGACAATAATAATCATTTCAGTTGCAGGTAAAGCATGGGGCATTTGGAGATATAAATGATATGTACAATGCTGTAACTGTTGAAGGAACTGGATACAGTCTAGTTTTTATTTCTGTTTCAAGAAATTTCTGATTATAAATATTTCAATTTAAATTTCTGATGTGCTATGTTTTATAGTACCTAAAAATGAAGTAAAGTTCAATGCTAAAAGTCACATTTGAAGGGAATGAATGTTAAGGAATGAATGATACTCTAATAAGTAACAGCAAATGGACTAACTGGTTCTAATTCCAGAGTTAAGCAAATGCAATTAAATATGCAATACCGCACAGATCGCCTTCATCAGAACCATCAGGACAGTCTTTTTTCCCATTGCAGAGTTTTTCTGGCTGCAGGCACACTGAAGTATCATTAGCACAAGGGTACTTGGGTGGTCCACACATAAAACTGTCACAGTCTTCTTCATCTGATTGATCTTCACAATCAATATCTCCATCACATACCCATGCTTTGTTAATGCATCTCCCTTAAGAGAACAGAAACAACATGCATTTAATTTTTGTAGTTAGGTCACTGTAATAATGAGTGGCCATTATTGTTTTGAGTCAAAGGCAGAATGACTTACCATTAGCAGGAAATGTTTGTCAAAAGTCTAATAGTTTGTTTTCATGATAGAATTTGAATACTTCTAGCCCTGATTGATAAAATGCTCTTAAAGTTTAAAATGTAATATTTACTTGCAGTTCCTTCTCAGCAAAAGAAACATTCTGTGAGGTGAATAGAGAGCCTACATCTTGGGAGTACACCTTTACCCCTCACACATCAGATAGAGCAGTAATCAATAGGGTATATAAAGAACTTAAAAAGCTAAACAGCAAAATACAAATAACCCAATCAATAAATGGGCCAAGGACCTGAAGAGACACTTCTCAGAAGATATTGTACAATCAATCAATAAATACGTGAAAAAATGTTCATCAACACTAGCAATTAGAGAAATGCAAATCAAAACCACTCTAAGATTTCATCTCACTTCAGTCAGAATGGCAGCTATTAAGCATACAAACAACAATAAGTGTTGGCGAGGATGTGAGGAAAAAGGTACACTCACACACTGCTGGTGAGCATGCAAATTGGTGCAGCCAATATGGAAGGCAGTATGGAGATTTTTTGGAAAATTGGGAATCGAACCACCATTTGACCAGTTTCTCTCCTCGGTCTATACTCAAAAAACTTAAAAATAACATACTACAGGGACGCAGCCATATCAATGTTTATAGCAGCACAATTAACAATAGCTAAACTGTGGAACCAACCTAGATTTCCTTCAATAAATGAATGGATTTAAAAAAGTGGCATATATACACAATGGAATATTACTCAGCAATAAAAGAGAATAAAATCATGGCATTTGTAAGTGAATGGATGGAGTTAGAGAAGATAATGTTAAGTGAAGTTAGCCAATCCCAAAAAACCAAATGCCAAGTGTTTTCTTTGATATAAGGAGGCTGATTCTTAGTGAGATAGGGAGAGGAAGCCTGGGAGGAATAGATGAACTCTAGATAGAGCAGAGGGGTGGAAGAGGATGGGAGGGGGCATGGGGTTATTAATGCTGGTAGAATGTGATGATCATTATTATCCAAAGTACAGGTATGAAGACATGAATTGGTGTGACTATAATATATATACAACCAGAGAGATGAACAATTGTGCTTTATATATGTAATGAGAATTGTAATATATTCTGCTATCATACATAAATAAAAAAAAGATGTAATATTTTCTTTAGTTTAAAATTATTTTCATGTGATATTAAAAAAAGTTTCTGTGGCTAATTAAAAGTTCATTACAATACTTTCAGAGGTAAAATGTAAAGATACATAAAGATATATTTGTATATCGGTGACTTACTTTCTTTTTTGGGGGGTGGGGTGGTACTGGGGATTGAATCCAGGGCCACTTAACCACGGAGACACATCCTCAGCTCCTTTTTTTACTTTTATTTTGAGACAAGATCTTTCTAAGGTACTGAGGGCCTCGCTAAGTTGTTGAAGCTTGCTTTGAACTTATGTTCCTTCTGCCTCAGCCTCCCTAGCTGGTGGTATTATAGGTATGCGTCCAGCCATTAGTGCATTTCATAACCCCCAATTTAGGTACATATTATAGGTGCCAATCAGAAGCCTAGTGTAGGTAAATATTTTAGCAGAATTTACTGTAATTACATTCATAACCTCAATATCTGAACTCCTCTCACTAGACATATGCATATGCTTTCAGAAATATAATATCATATATTATTTAAAAAATTAGTAGTTAATGTGTAATATCTAAACTTGTCTAAATGTATTTTACTTTACTGCTTTAAAAGAAAAAAAAAATAAAATGGTCATTGTTTTCTAGCATATTTCAAAAATATCTGTGTGAACACAAAAAACAATACTTGTTGTCCAAGTAAATATCTTTTTACACTGCAAGTTATTCTTCCTTTCCACATTGTTTTATTTTACTCCTAATTATATTTTCTGGATTATACATTATAAAGGTATTTTAAAAAGTACCTAAGGATAAATACTAGTTATTTTCTCACATATACAAAAAGCTCATAAAATAAGTAGTATAAATAAAAGAAAAATGGAAAGTATTATAATTTCCAAAAGTCACTATGTAGTTATGTGACTTCTTAAACTTTAAGAATTATTAAATTTTAACATAATTAAAATATTGGTGCAAAAGTATTTTATTTATATAAAATTATTACTAATTCCCATACTATTATAAGTTAAATATAAAACACATGGTCAGTTTCATAGTTGATAAAAATATATTTGATGATATTCAACATTAATTACAGGTAAAATACTCTTAAAATACGATTGACAGATACTTCACTAATGGGTTTGAAATAAATGGAGAAACATTATATAGTTTTACCTTAACATCATTAATAAAACAAATAATGTAATTTTATATTGTTAAGAAAATACTAATTCAGGTAATTTTATAATAGAAAGAATGAGGTAAAACATTAGGAAAAATATCAATAAATATGATATTATAATTGTAAAACCTATTAAAACTAAATAAAACCTATGAGAAACTAAGAATTCAAAAAATTGCTAATTTCAAACATTATATAAAAATTAATAGATCACATATCAACAAGTGTACATAATAGAACAAATGCCAATTAAAATTGTACCATGAAATAAAGTACCTGGTATTAGATTCCATATATCTATGTTACATTTATATGAAAAAATATAAAAATTCTAGATGACACTCAAAAAATTTAATGAAATTCATGTTTGGTCTTCAAGAGGGAGATTTATTAAGGTAAAGGCATTCATTTTTTTTTACAAAAATACAATTCTTCTAAAAGAGCAAAAATATGCTTGCCATCTAGTTTATTAGGTTATACTAAGTTTAAGAAACTATTACTGCAAAATTTATTAGGACTTTTCAAAAAATAAAATGAAAGAGTAATATTGATGAGAAGGAACTATATATACACCAAATATTTAGAAGCAGTTTAAAGTCACAGAAATTAAAATACTTTTATAAAAAATCAATAACAGATAAAGAATCAAATAACAGAGACGTTAGAAAAAGACATTTATATATATATATATATATATAAATGTGTCTAATAGAGAAAGATTACTCAAATAGTTGAAAAAAATTAATTGCAAAATTAATGGTTAATTATCTATGATCACTGTCTAGAGGATAAAAAAAAAAAAAAAAGCTGGGCATGGTGGCACACACCTGTAATTCCAGTGACTCAGAAGACTGAGGCAGGAGGATCACAAGTTCCAAGCCAGTCTCAGCAACTTAGTGAGGCCCTAAGAAACTTAGAGAGACCTTTTCTCAAAAATAAAATATAGACAGGATTGGAGATGTGGCTCAGTGGGTAAGTGGCCCTGGGTCCAATCCCCTGTATAAATAAAAACAATAAAATAACAACAACAGAAAAAAAAAAAAACCCTAAAACTGAATCTCTTTGACTCCTTATTCTATAATAAATTCTAGACTGATCAAAAGGTAAACATTTTAAAATAATTATATTAAAAATACAAACCTTCTAGGAAAAAAAAGCATATTTAAAAAGCTTGAAATGGTCATTATGGAAACCTAGAAACTGTGAATGACATTGATTGGTTAACTTAAATTCATACATTTCCTTTCTACATTACAACAACAAAATCTATATGCAAAGACAGTAAGCAGTGAATAAGTCAGAAAAATATCACTACACTTTTTAAAAGTAAATTATTTCTAAGAAAAATATTCTAAATTTTATACTGAAGCATAAAAGATCCCAAATAACCAGACAAAAAAAGAAAAACGCTGTAGGCATCACAACACCTGATTTCAAGACACACTACAGAGCCATAGTAACAAGAAAGAATGGTTAATGTTTAGATTATGTGCTTCCCAAAAGCTCAGATGTGAGACCATGCAAAAATATTTAGAGGTCAAAGGACTGAGATAGAAGAGCCTTAACCCCAAAACTGCATTGATCCCAAGATGGAGATTAACTGGGTGGTAACTGTAGGCAGTTAGGATGGCTGGAGATGGGTCCCTAAGAGCATTCCTTTGGCCTTTAGCTTTCTTTCTGCTTCCTGATACCATGTTGCCAGCTGCTTTACTTTGCCAAATACTTCTGCCATGATGTTCTGCCTCACCTTGTTCCCCAAGAAGTGGAGCCAGCTGTCTATGGATTGAGACCTCAGAAACCATGAGCCCCCAAATAAACTTCTTCTCCTTAGAATTGTTCTTATCTGGTCTTTTAGTCACAGTAGTGAAAAAACTTACTGGAAACAGGTGGTACTGGCATGGAAACAGAATCAAACACTAGTAAAAGAGAGTAGAGACCCAAAAATATGCCCTCATAGCTACTGATTTTTTACACTGATGAATGAACATCCTCTTCAATATGAACTGCTAGAATAACTGAGGATCCATATGCAGAAGTTTGAAAATTGACCCCTATCACTTTTTTTCTTTCTCCTTTTTTTTTTTTTTTTGGTGTGTGTGTGTGTGGGGGGGGTGGTCCTAGAGACTGAATTTAGGGGTGTTTTACCACTGAGCTCATTTTTCAGCCCTTTTTACTTTTGAGATAGGGATTTGCAAACTTGCTGAAGCTCTCCCTAAATTGATGAGGTTGGCCTAGGATTTGGGATCCTACTGCCTCAGTCTCCCAAATTGCTGGGGTTACAGGCATGTGCCACCATGCCCAGCTACCCTTATCTCTTGCCCAGCATAAAATCATCTCAAAATGGATTAAATATAAGATCTGACACTCTGAAACTACTAGAAGAAAACATATGGAAAACACATCAAGAAATTGGCTTAGGAAATGATATTTTGGAAATGAGCCCCAAATCTTTTATTTATAGAAAATAAGTATTTATTTGTAGAAAAAATTCTTTTATATATAGAAAATAAAAGCAAAAATTAACATATGAGATTACATCAAATGGGAATTCTTCTACACATCAACAGAGTGAAGAGACAATCTATAGG